CAATAAAATATATATTTAAAAAAAAAGAAAAAAAAAAAAAGAAATATCAATGATGGGAATCACTGATTGGGTGCCTCCTGCACGCCCCCTACTGGGGGTCAAGCCTGAAACCCAGGACTGGGAATTGAACTGTGACCACCTGGTTCATAAGTCGACACTCAACCACTGAGCCACACCAGCAGGGCCACATACTCTATTTAATTCACCCATGTAAAGTATGCAATGGTTTCTAGCATATTTACAGAATTATACAGTCATCACCATAATCTAATTTTAGAACATTTTGATCATCCCCAAAAGTATCCCTCAGCAGTCATTCTTCGTTCCTCGCCCCCCCCCCCATTCATTCCCATCCCCCAGCTGCAGGCAACCACTACAATGTTTTCCATAGATTTGCCTATTTTGGTCATTTCATATCAATAGGATTATACAAATATGCAATCTTTTGTGTCTGGCTTCTTTCACTTAGCCTAATGTTTTTGAGTTTCATCCATGTTGTCATAGCATGTGTCAGTATTTCATCCCTTTTTATGACTGAATAATATTCCACTGTATGAAAGTACCACATTTTGTTTATCTGTTCATCAGCTGTTGTACATTCTGGGTTATTTATACTTTTTAGCTAGTATAAATAAATCTGATACAAACATTCATAGAAATGTATAGTTACAAGTTTTTATTTCTTTTGGGTAGATACCTAATAGTAGGATTGCCAAACCATATGGCAACTGTATGTTTAACATTTTGAGAAACTGCAAAACTGTTTTCCAAAACAACTGCTCTATTTTGCATTCCCACCAGCAATGTTTGAGGACTCCAATTTCTCCACCTCCTTGCCCAAACTTGTTACTGTCTGCCTTTTTTATTATAGGCATTCTAGTGGGTTGAAGTGGTATCACATCATGGTTTTGATTTGCATTTCCTTAATGACTAATGTTGAACATCTTTTCATGTGCTTATTGGCCATTTCTATATCTTATTTGGAGAAATGTCCATTCAAATCCTTTTAAATTGGGTTTTCTTTAATTTATTTTACAGAGAGGAAGGGAGAGGGATAGTTAGAAACTTCAATGAGAGAAAAACATCAATCAGCTGCCTCCTGCACGCCCCCTACTGGGGATCAAGCCTGCAACCAAGGTACATGCCCTTGACCAGAATAGAACCCGGGACCCTTCAGTCCGCAGGCCGATGCTCTATCCACTGAGCCAAACTGGCTAGGGCAATTGGGTTGTCTTTTAATTTGAGTTGTACGAGTTCTTTCTATGTTCTGAATACAAGTTCCCTATCAGATACATGATTTGCAATATTTTCTCCCAGTGTGTGGTTTCTTTTGACTTTTTGGATAGTGTCCTTTGAAGTACAAATGTTTTTAATTTTGATAAAGGCTAACATCTCAATCTTCTGTTTTATTGTCTGTGCAATATCTTTACCTAGTATCACAAAGATTTACTCTTGTGTGTTTTTTTCTAAGTTTTAACTCTTACCTTTAGATATTAGATCCATTTTGAATTACTTTTGTTTATGATGTGTCCCCCATTATTTTTTTTCTTTCTCTCTCTCTCTCTCTTTTTCTCCCATTATGGTTTTTTAAAAAATGGTTTTTTTTATTGATTTTTAGAGAGATAGGAAGGGAAAGAGAGAGATAGAAACATCGATGAGAGAGAAACACCGATCAGCTGCCTCCTGCACACCCCCTACTGGGGATTGAGCCTGCAACCTGGGCATGTGCCCTGACTGGGAATTGAGCCGGCAATCTCCTTCCTGGTGCATAGAGAACACTCAACCAACTGAGCCACACCAGCCAGGGCAGTAAGAACATTCTTGAAGAGAATGCACCACACTCATTTCTGACTTGGGCACTATGCTTTATTTCATATGGTCATGGATTCTGGGCTTCTCTCAGCTCCCCTTTGTAATAAATCTTAAATGATTCTAAACATTTAAGTATATCTAACTACAACTTAATTAAAGTTAGAGAATTAATATAGCTTTTGGCAGGAATTTCTGCTTTGTTGTTGCTGACCACAAGTATGCAGAGTGCCCGCCAATCTCCTCACAGAAAACACTGCGAACAATTTGGGATTTGTTTTCAGACTTGTTTTCTAAATCTGCAGGATTCTTTTCTAGAGATTATGTTCATCAGAATATACTGGCATAAATTGTTTTAGAGTACACCTACACCAACAAATTCAGCTCAAATGTGTCTGGAAACCTGATATTCAATTTTCACCTCACTGAAAATCCCTTCAAAGTACATTCTGTTCCATCCATTCTAACGTCACCATATTCACCCTCTTACCCTATCAAAGCTTGGACACACGGTGATAATTTTCATTAACTGCTCACAACATAATTCTTTTTTTAAATCCTCACCCAACGATATTTTTCCCTTTGATCTTTAGAGAGAGAATGGAAGGGAGAAAGAAAGAGAAACATTGATGAGAGAGAGACACACATCAACTAGTTGCCTCCCACATGCACCCTAACCTGGGATCAAACCTGCAACCCAGGTACAAGTCCTCGACTGGGAATCAAACCTGCGACTATCCATCTGAGGACCAACACTCTAACCACCGAGGCAAAATGGCCAGGGTTCACAATATAATTCTAACAGACAAAGTTAATGTTCTGTTTTGGTACCTGCCCAGGCAAGTCACAAAGTGTGTTATTTTACTGGAGCTAGCCCTGAAGAGAGAGGAATGAAGATAATCTATGGCTGAATTCTTCCAATCTTCAATCTTGTATTTGGTCGAATAAGTCTCCATTTTTCTATGATACCAACATTGTTTTCTACCAGGATCTGGCTGTGCATTATACGCCTTCTAATAGCAAGGCTACTTAACTACTCTTTCATTCTCTAAAATCAGGCATCAATGATTTGGGAGAATGGAATGAAATTGTCACGTTTGGATCCAGTAGACATGTATTCTTTTCAGTACGAGGTACGAAACATACCTTTTACTTATCCCATCATTGCTCAGAAATCTGATTTGAAAAGCATCCTCAAACACTTCCTTTAGTTCATGCTCAGTGACCTTGCTAGGCAAGTTCTTGATCAAAAGTGTTTTGGCATTTCGATCTACATAAATAGAAAAGAATATTTTTAGTCTGCATTTAGATCTCATAGGCATCAAAAGTTCTCTCGGAGAGAAAAAAATATTTCACACACAAAAAAAATATTTCACAAGAGTTGAAGAGAGGAAACAACAATGCATACTCCTTCAAATATTTGAACTAAACAAATATTTGAACATACAGGTTGGGTGAGGGCCTATGCTTCATGCAGGCTGTGAAAATATAGGAATGTGGTCTTGTGGGGGAAAAACCAGTACATAAACAATCCCATAATTACAAATTGTGCTAAGTGCCAGGAAGGAAAAGTAAAAGGGGAGATGAGAACATTTAGTGGAGAAGACATAGCCTCGTCTGGGGTAAGGGAAAGGTTTCTGGATCTGAGGAAGTGACCTTTAAGCTGGATGGGTTGCAGGTAGCCAGGGCATGAGTCTTGCAGTGAACATGTGACAGAGAAGATAAGGTAGAAAATGACAGAGAGTAAGGTAAAGAACTGTGACAGAGAAGGTGGGCCAAGTAGCTAGAGCAGCCGTGGGCAAACTACGGCCCGCGGGCCGTTTGAAATGAATAAAACTAAAAAAAAAAAGACCGTACCCTTTTATGTAATGATGTTTACTTTGAATTTATATTAATTCACACAAACACTCCATCCATGCTTTTGTTCCGGCCCTCCGGTCCAGTTTAAGAACCCATTGTGGCCCTCGAGTCAAAAAGTTTGCCCACCCCTGAGCTAGAGCATAGGGAATGAGAGCAAGGTGGGCCAAGTTGGTGATGTGGAAGCAGGTGACCTGTTGGTAACTGAGGAGCACGGAATAAGACAGAAGATGATATTCCTGCCTGACGCAGTCTTTTAGGTAGCTATAAACAAATTACCTTATTTGCATACCTTTTTTTGTTTCCTTTCCCTTTGGTTTCTTCAATTTAATTTCATACCCAAGGACCTTTGTCTCACTGAGTTCCAGGGCTTTTTCCTGATCGTCAACAGATTTAAAATTCACATAACCAAATCTCCTACAGAGAGGAAGAAGAAAAGAAAACACACACACACACACACACACACATTAAATCAAGAGGCACAAGCCTTCTGGTTGGCTCATCACACTGGCTGTGAGAGTGGAAATTAGTATCAAGTAAAAAGCAGTTGCTGAATTTACAATTTCAAACCAAGGCTCCACCAACTGGCAATATCAGTGCCAGGGAGTCCCCAGAAAATAGTGGTTCTCACCAGCGAGTTTGGCAATATCTGGGGACATTTTCAGCTGTTACAACTGGGGCAAGTGCTTCTATTATCTTGTGGGTAGAATCCAGGGAAGCTGCTAAACAGCCTACAATGAACTTGACAGCCCACCACACAAAGGTCAACCATGCCAAGGTTGAGAAGCCCTGTTCTAGAGCAAGGACTGGTTTTCTGTTTAATAACTGACCAGAGTTAACCAAAAGCTATAGAAAATGAAGCTTAAAATGACAAATTTTTGAACTTTTATTTTTAATAAGCAGCCATCTGCATTTGTTTACTGGAACAAAAATATTATTCCTAATGTGGAACTGTTAACAAACTCAAGGGCTGTTTCGGTAAGAATTTTTTCTTAATACAAAAGGAATCCTTATTTACTGCAAATGCAACAATATTCCAAAATATAGCTAACAAAAACTAGAAGAGCCAGGGACAGGCTCTGGAGCCAGAGTGCTGGGCTCAAGTCCTGGCTCTGCCCCTTTCTCGCTGTGATACTGGGCATGCAGCATAACTTCTCTGTGCCTTAGTCACCTCTTCTATGAAATGGGGATAATGGCAATAATCACCACTGAGGACTGTCTTATGGAGTCAGTGAGTTATATAAATAAGAAACTAAGAGCAACACCTTGAACAGTGAGCACCCAGCAAATGTTTACTAGTATGATTACCTTTGTTTCTACCTGAGAAATTCTGAGTTGTACAAAACAGGCTTACACCTAAGACATTTGCTTTTGATGAAAAAGAAGTGAGAAAAGATGAAATTCAACTCAGCAAAAAAGCAGAACGATATTTACCACCAAAGTTGGGGGTTTTGTGATTAAATTTGTGGCTTAGCTAACATAATTCTAGGCAAATAACATTGCTCACAGTTGGAAAATCATGAAAATATGTTTCTGTAAAGACTTGGAAGATCTTGGGATTATTTTAATGCTTTGGTTGGGAAAATTGGGTAGCAAAGTTTAATCTTGTAGGTTTAATAAACAAGCCACTGAAGGGTTTTAAATACTCATTTTGACTGCAAGAGACAGGTAAAATCCCACCAAAGGGCGAAGAGCAAGTAATAGAAGGATGTGACAAAATGGAAGTCTAGTAACCCACAGTGAAACAGAAAGCGACTGGGACTCCTAAATTCTCCAGGGACAGTACGTGCTAGGCTGATAAACTCTTAACAACATTCTTAATTTACCGGTATTTACCTGGACGAGCTGACTCTGACACCAACAACTGTGAGTTCATTTTTAGCAAAAAATTCCCTGAGACCAGTTTTTAGTTCAGCAGCAGTTTTGTTGAAATTCAGGTTTCCAACAAACAGTTTGAAAGTTACAGGTGGTTCAGCTGCCATACAAAAAGGTAAAACAACAACAACACACACACAAGTCAAATAAGCAGTTCAGAAAGAATGATGCTAAAAGAAAATTCATCAAAGACTGGCGTATTATAACACCAGGCTGCAATTAAAATCCTTGCTCATGATTTAAGATTTGGTTTTCACCAAGATAAAATTCTCTATGTGTCCCTTATATTTTAAAACACAGGAAAGCGCCCTGGCTGGTGTTCTCAGTGGTTAGAGCATCAGCTTGCACACCTGAAGGTCTCAGATTTGGTTCCCAAAGGCACGTACCTGGGTTGCAGGTTCGATCCCCACCCCTGGTCTCGGCTTGTGCAGGAGGCAATTAATCAGTGTGTCTCTCTCACATTGATGTTTCTCTCTCTCTCTCTCTCTCTCTCTCTCTCCCCCTTCCTCCCTCCCTTCCACTCTCTCTAAAAAGCAATGGAAAAAATATCCTTGGGTGAAAATTAACAAAACAAAACAAAAAAACACAACAAAGGAGTTACCTTCTAATTTCTGTTTTTTGGTTTCAGGGGAAGCCTTCTGTTTGGCCCTTTTCTTCTTCTGTTTATCAGGTGTTTTTTTAATATGATCTGTGGGCAAAAGCCAAAATATTGTATTTTTACTGATCTGTCTGTGCCACTAGTAAGTAAACTGGAAGTTCTTACATTCTCCACAAATATCATACCTATGTTATGCCTATTCTTCACAAGACACATGGATTAGGTCTGGTCAAAATACTTTTAAAAGCATTTATAAATTAATTAGAAAGTTCTTCAAGTTCATAACAGAAATGCAACAGTCCCTGCCCAAGGACTTCCCTTACAACTAGAAATCGTTGAGACTGGCCACCATTTAACATAGCCAATTTGGGTCATTCTGACCCTCCTCCTCTTCCTCATAGCCTTTGTCATCACAGTGGTTGTCCTGCTCGTCCTCCTCGGCCCCCACAGGAAAGGCTTTTCTCCCTCTGGACCATGGAGAATTCACAGCTTCTTTTTCAGAATCTAAATGAAAACCCACCCAATCAATTCCTGACACATATTCAAATACCTCCTTTAAATAAAACTCATACCACCCTGGCCGGTTTGGCTCAGTGGATAGAGCATTGGCCTGTGGACTGAAAGGTCCCAGGTTCGATTAGGTGTCAAGGGCATGTACCTTACCCTTACTCCTACTGCGGGCACATCCCCAGTAGGAGGTGTGCAGGAGGCATCTGATCAATGTTTCTCTCTCATCGATGTTTCTAACTCTCTATCCCTCTCCCTTCCTCTCTGTAAAAAAATCAATAAAATATATTTTAAAAAATAAAATAAATAAAACTCATACCAATACACTTTAGAATCTAACTCAATTACCTTCATCTTCATCCTCCTCTTCGTCATCCTCCTCTTCGTCTTCATTTCCTGTGCTCTTGGCCTTCACAGGAACAGCTTTTACAGGAGCTTTCTTGCCTTTGGCTGGTGTAATCTCCATTGGTTCTTCTTCAGAGTCTGAAAGAGAAGCTACCTAGTCAAAAACTCAAGAGAATTATCCTCAAACCAACATTAGTTCCAGATAAATCTAAAGGAAAAAATACATAATACAATACTGTGCTTAGTAGTTATAGCAAGAATTAACAGATTACTTGGAAGCAAAACCCTGTATTATGAAAACTACTCATAGAATGTGCTGTTAAACATTTTCTCAGAGGCAGGCAATCATTCATGGCTAACACCCTAGTATACAACCAGCACGGAGAATCCCTGGGAGGATTTTTATCTAATCCCCATGGTGTCATGGAAGGAGTATGTCTGCATGTTGCCCACCCAACCCACAATCTCACCCCTAATGTACCTTTCAAACAAGAGAAGAGCCCAAGAACTACCAAGAGAACGCCTTACCGTCTTCTTCATCATCATCATCCAAGAAAGGGGCAGCAGCAGTAGCTTTCATCACTGCTGGCTCAAATTCAACCTCATCCTCCTCTTCACTGTTGCCATCATCTTCCTCATCACTATCTTCCTTCTTGGCATTCTTGTTATTCCCTGCTCCCTTGTCTGGGGTGGCTGCTTCCTTCTTACCAGGGGTTGCTACGGCTTTGGCTGGTGTAACTGCTGCCTTTTTGCCAGGAGCCAGTATAGCTGTTGCCTCGTTGCCAGGAGTGACAACTGCTTTCTTGCCTGCTGTGGCAACTGCAATCTTTTCTGTTGGGGAAACCATCACCTTCTTTCCTGGAGTTGTGGTAGCCTTTTTGCCTTTTTTCTGAGGAATGATAACCTCAAGATTAAATAAAAACAAACATGAGTCGCTCAGCCGGTGTGGCTCAGTTGTTGAATATCGACCTACAAACCAGGAGGTCATGGTTTGATTCCAGGTCAGGACATATGCCCGGGCTGTGGGCTCAATCCCCAGTGGGAGGCATGCAGGAGGAAGCCGATCAATGATTCTCTCTCATCATTGATGTTTCTATGTCTCTCTCCCTCTCCCCTCCTCTCCGAAATCAATAAAAATATTTGTAAAAACAAACAAACATGAGTCTATTTTCAAACTCAAAAAGGGAGTATTGGTCCCTCATAAATGACTGCTAAATTCTGGCACTGCCTTCTAGTTCAAGACCACATGCATTAGATATATGCTAGCATGTTAAAACTATAGCGTCATGTTACATGTCCTTATCTATATCTGTGCAGTCACAGTCCTCATTTTCAGGTAAAATGTATAATCATAATGAACCCTTCAAATACCTATGGACCCACACCTGTTAATTTCTATACCTCATACTCTAATCACTTCAGCTTTGAAGCAGCACACCTTAAATGCACTCTGAAAATAGACTGTCTAGATCCCATCTGCTACTGTGTGGCTCTAGTTCTTTAAAGTATATTTTTATTGATTTCAGAGAAGAAGAGAGAGAGAGAGAGAGAGAGAATCATTGATCAGCTGACTCCTGCACGCCCCCTACTGGGGATCAAACCCACAATCCGGGCATGTGTCCTTGACCGGAATCGAAGTCTGCAAGCCGATGCTCTATCCACTAAGCCAAACCAGTTAGGGCTAGGAGAGATTTTTTTAAGCCTCACCTTTTTTTCTCTTCTGACAATGATAACCAATGTTACATGGTATTTTAAGGATTATGAATTAATTTCTGTAACTAAGAGCTCTGTTAAGTGTTATTAAATCGTTTGGGGAGGTGGTATAAAGTTCACTGAAAGCTCAGTATTAAGACCAGAGATAAAATGAGTATCAAATAGGCTGGACAGTCCTTGCAAAATTAATACAAATTAGAGTGGGCAGTTAACTTGATAAAAACATTATCTATAGTCAAGTCACACTCAAAGCTACCTCTTGTTGACCACCAGTTTTATCAAGTTATGTGTTAAAATAAGACTTGTAGTTGTCTTTACAGTAAGCAATAGTAGCCAAGAGTACCAAAGTGTCATCGTCAGTACAAAGGGAGCTGGCGTTCCTCACTCCACAACATTATAACACAGTGACTAGTGTTACAAAAGTTGTACAAAGAACAGAGACCTGCCCAGTTGTGTGGCTCAGTGGTTGTGTCGACCTATGAACCAAGAGGTCACAATTCAATTCCCAGTCAGGGCACATGCCCCAATTGTGGACTTGATCCCCAGTAGGGGGAGTAAGGGAGACAGCCAATCAATGATTCTCTGTCATCACTGATGTTTCTATCTCTGTCCCTCTCCTTTCCTCTCTGAAATCAATAAAAATATCTATCTTTTTAAAAAAAGAACAGAGACCTGCTTGGCAGCTAGGAAAGGAATCTGGTAAGGCTAAACCCAGACCTGAATACAATGCCCAGCACCACCACATACAAGACAGCTAGCTGTCCAGGCTGTTTCCTCATCTAGCATGTGGGGCTAGCAAGTTGAAACTGGAAAAATGATTTAATACATCATCACACTAAGCCCTGTGGAGGGCACATGAGGAGGCGGCTCCAGATCTTTTCTCTCAAGCTCATCCAAATACTTACCTTTATGGTATTTTGACAGGTCAATGAAGAGCTTGTGAAACACTCAACCATTACAACAGGGCATCTATGAAGGAATACAATCTTACCTTTGCCAGTATTTTCACACATACAACACGACTGTACATGACTCTGCATTAAATTGTACATAATTACCTCTTCTCCACTGCTTTCATCTTCTTCATCTGACATTTCCTCATCTTCACTATCTTCTTCTCCCTCCTTTGGAGGAGAAGCCATTTTCTTGGGGTCACCTTGATTTTTACCAGCCTACAACAGACACGATCATTAGCACATCACACCTCCCACATTTCAGGCCACTCACATTTTGCCTGCAGTCATCTCCCTTTCTCAGAATCCACTTTTCATTCTGTTAAATATTACCAATAAGGTAAACCAATCTTAGGTAAAAAGACAATTTTAGCCCTTGCTGGTTTGGCTCAGTGGATAGAACATTGGCCTGCGGAGTGAGGGGTCCCCGGGTTCGATTCTTGTCAAGGGCACATACCTCGGTTGCAGGGCCTGGGTCCTGGTTAGGGCTCATGCAGGAGGCAACCAATGGGTGTTTCTCTCACATCGATATTTCTGTCTTTCCCTCTCTTTAAAAATTAATGGAAAAATATCCTCGGGTGAGGATTAAAAATAAAATAAACAATTTCAAACACACGATCTCCCTCTTCCTATTGCCTTCATTTAGCATACCTGTTTTATTTATTTATTTTAAAATATATTTTATTTTTTTAAAATATATTTTATTGATTTTTTTTACAGAGAAGAAGGGAGAGAGATATAGAGTTAGAAACATCAATGAGAGAGACACATCCATCAGCTGCCTCCTGCACATTCCCTACTGGGGTGCCCACAACAACCAAGGTACATGCCCTTGACCGGAATCGAACCTGGGACCTTTCAGTCCGCAGGCCGACGCTCTAGCCACCGAGCCAAACCGGTTAGGGCTAACACACCTGTTTTAAAAATGATACTTCCAGCCCTAGCCGGTTTGGCTCAGTGGACAGAGCCTCGGCCTGCAGACTGAATGGTCCTCGACTGGATTCTGGGTCAGGGCACATGCCTGGGTTACAGGCTCGATCCCCAGTGGGGACGTGCAGGAGGCAGCTGATCAATGATTCTCTCTCATCATTGATGTTTCTCTCTCTCCCTCTCCCTTCCTCTCTGAAATCAATAAAATAAAATAAAATATAAAACTTTTAAAAGCCTTCGGTAAATTGTGGCACCTTATCCCACCCCTCTCCTCTGAATTTAAATTAGGGCAACTTTAAAGATCACCTCTTAACCTAACTAGATTTAAAAAATGAAGAAACCCGGCTGCTCGCTACCTCGAGGAACGACCTGCGAGGCCCGGCCCACGTGGCGGGACACCCAAGGCACGTGCCCGGCTCCCGCCTGTCCCAGGAGTTTGGCCTCATCTCTCCACCCCAAGGCCCAGCGCCCCCTCCCCACGCTCAGTCCCGAAGGCTCTCCCGCTGCATCCACCACCCGCAACACCCGCCGCCGCTCTTCACCTCGCCACCAAGAACCCCAAACCGCAAGACCTCCGCGCTAATCACGCGAGACTTCCCGCAGCAGGACGCCCTCGAATGCGCCCGGGACGGCGCGCACACCCTCCTCCTAGCGGCGCCCTGCGCGCGTTCCTCAGAAAACGGGCCTCGACGTTCGTGCTTACGGAGGAAGGCCCCTTATCTTTGTGGGTTACACGGTGGGTGTGTGGCGGGTGAGGGGGGAAGACGAGCCCAGAGGAACCGAACAACGCCAAGGGGGCCGCTTGTACGGAAGACTCCGGCGCGGATGTTTCGCTACGGGCTAGAGTTCGAGCCTGGGCAAAAGCTCATCTTTGGAAAGTCGACGACTGTACTTCGTCACTCCATTTCAACCAATCAGAGTTTGCGCTCATTCCATGAGCCAATCGCGGACGTCGTGGGGCGGGGCCTGGAGTGGGCTGGCCCAGGTCGCCGGAAGGGAGAGTGGAGATTCCGTTTCTGGGTCGGCCGGAGTGCGGAGCAAGATGGGTGGGGAGCAGGAGGGGTGGGGAGCAAGAGGGATG